CGCCCCTCTCACCGCGCGACGACCTCGGGCCGCCCTGGGCTGCGCGTTGCCCCTGGGCCAGCGGGGCGCAGAGGCCGCGGGGCCTCGTCTCCATGGCAGCGCCGCAGGCGTGGCAAGCGGAGCACGAGTAACTGGAATCATCGATCTCCTGAGGGGCGGGGCCGGGAGGGCGAGGGGCGGGGTTGGAACGGGGCGAAGGATCTGGAGAGGAGTCGGGAGGAGGAGGAGGAGCCAGAGAGGAGGAGGAGGAGTCGGGAGGAGGAGGAGGAGCCGGAGAGGAGGGGGAGGAGGAGCCAGAGAGCCAGGAGGAGGAGCTGAGAGGAGGAGGAGGAGTCGGGAGGAGGAGGAGCTGAGAGGAGGAGGAGGAGTTGAGAGGAGGAGGAGGAGGAGTTGAGAGGAGGAGGAGGAGTCGGGAGGAGGAGGAGGAGCCAAGGGAGGAGGAGAAACGGAGACGGGAGAAGGATCCGAGGAGGAGGAGCCGGGAGGAGGAGGTGCAGCCGGGAGGAGGGGGCGGAGCCTGGAGGAGGGGGCGGAGCCTGGAGGAGGGGCGGAGCCGGGGCCCGAGGCCCCCGGGACCTGCCCAGGGACCGTCCCTGGCGGTCACCGGGCTGCCGGCGCCTTTTCTCGGGCCGAGCCGCTTGCAATTGCCCCCTCTCCCCCAAGAACGGGAGGCGGCGCCCGCTGGTTGGCGGCTCGTCCGAGCGGTCGGGAACGGGGCGCGCCTCCCGCTTCCCGCACCCACCTCCCGGCGACCTCAGAGCCGCCCCCCCCCCACCCGCCCCGTCGGCGTCAGGTGCCGACTAGCACTACCTCAAAGCCGGCACTCACTCGTGTCCATCACATCAGAATGCTCAGAAGTAAACGCAATGGAATCATCTGTCAGTGGGTGAGTGGGTGCGGAATGGAGTAAGTGCGCGCACACGCGCACGCGCACACACACACACACACAGATTATTCTGCTTTAAAAAGAAAGAAATCAGCCAGGTGCCGGTGGCTCACGCCTGTTATCCTAGCTACTCAGG